CAGCATTAAGGACCCAATGAAGTTCCAAGAGCATGGATTTAAAGTGAGATTGAGCTGTATGGCTGTGTGTTTTTCTCGAGCCATGTTCAGCCGCTGATGCGGAGTAGTCAGAGTTGGGTTTCATTAGGTCTATCGTCATGCCAGGTGAGTGTGACAAAGAAAAGAGGCAAAGAATTGAGAGTGTGTAGAAGAAAGAGGTGGGGTTGGGGGTATAATTATAATGACTGATCAGAAACTTACACGAGGTCAGGAGGGGAGTAAGAACATCACAGGCATGGACCATAGCAAAAGCTGGTGGGTTCAACAGATTGTGGAGGTTCTGGTGGGGTCAGAGGATGGCTGGGATCAGGCAAGGAAGTGAGCTGGAAAGGCAGAAGGGTCAGTGAGTGGGCTGTGTGAAACTGAGATTATGGAGGGGTTGTGGCTGCGGGTAATCACAACAATCATAATGATGGAGGGAAAATTATTGGAGGACAGGCATTAAGGGACTGAGTGGCCTGGGTGTTGGAAGGGTCATCTGTGTGTGTATGGCAATCACCAATAGTTAAGACAGTGTTGGAAAGAGTGAGAGTGAACCAGGATCTAGAATAAATTGAAATATGATCCCTGGGGGTCAGGAGAAAACAGTAGTGTTCGGGGCTTTTTTTGTTTGTTTTTTTAAGATTTTATTTATTTATTTGAGAGAGAGAGAGAGAGAGAGAGAGAGAGAGAGAGAGCAGAGCAAGAGGCAGGGGCAGAGAGAGAAGCAGGCTTCCCACTGAGCAGGGAGCCCAACACAGGGCTCAATCCCAGGACCCTGGGATCGTGACCTGAGCCGAAGGCAGCCACCTAACCTACTGAGCCACCCATGTGCCCCAAGACAGATTATGAACTCTAGAAGTCACGGGGGAAGAATTTCAGGAGTTAGGGAAGATAGAAGAAGGCCACAGAATAGGGGAAAGACCGGGCCTCATGGGGATCAGAGGCCTAGAGACAAGGTGACTTGGGAGCCAGGGAGATCGTAGAATTGACACAAACAGGGACAAGGACACATTGAGATTAATCCTGTTGGATGAAAAGTGGATGATGGTGGCAAGACTGAGTGTTGGGGTTCAGGAGGAATTTCAGGGGCTCCTGATGATGGAGGAAGGTTAGGGAAGCTCTCTGAATAGAGTATGCCCCTGACCCAGCCTGGCAACTACCCCCACCCTCTGTAATTTTTCACCTTCTCCAAAGGCTGCACCCAGCAGTTATGACAATTCTGACTGCCATATTGTCCACTGGTTTTGAAAGAAGTCCGATTCCAGAACTTCCTGTTTCTCTAAAAGCCCTAAAAGTACTTCATCACATCCACCCCTCTCCCCATCCCAGAGTACACATCCAGGGCTCGGGCTGACACTTGTCACATGGGCTGCTGCCCCCAAACAGGTTTGAGTTCTAACAGTCATGGAGCTGCCAACCTCCCAGATGGGCATCTGGGGAAGGGCAGGGCAGCCTCGAGGTCTGTCAGTCCACCTAAAGCTGTGTCATCCATTCTCACATTTCTGTATGAAGCCTCTTCCCTCTCTGCCTGCACAATAAACTACTTTGGCAAGAAGAGCTTCCAAATTCAGGGAAGATGGTTTTCCCTCATGTGGTCCACGTTTCAGAGAACACATCTGCTCACCATCTTGGTGAATGAGATCGTGCTTCAGTCCCTGGCTGTCCAGGCCCCAGTTAATCACTTGGTCCTCATCTTCATTCAGCTCTCTTCTGGGCTTAGCTCTATCCTGGTCAAAAGCCAGACCCATTCCTTTGGGCTCGCTCACAGCCTGAGTTGGCGGCCCTCTAATCATCTCCAGGGTTTGCTTCTGGCACTTCCAGAAGGAGGATTGGGGAAGGCCGCCCAGGAGGCTAATAAAAACTTGGTGTTTGCGGAATTAGGAGAAAGGATGAGCTCCTGGGAACCAGGTGATGTTTTTGTTACACATTCGTAACAGCTGTTTGAACACCAATTTCTCATCCTGTGGTCCTCTAGGACCCCAGAAATCTCTGCTCTGCTCTGGTATGGCCCGACGCCTTGTCTGGGGGAGCCCCGCTTTCTCTCCTACCTTCATCTTAGGTTACCACAATGAATCTCCCTAATACTTTAAGTATGGTAAAATGTCCACACTGGTATGTGACTAGGCAGGTTCGACAGTTACCTCTTTAGTGAATATTTGCATTTCAGTGAGGGAGATGAGGGTCAGCAAGTCAGGGACTTGCATCCAGTCCATTCAGAAACCTGCTCCTACGGACAGGTTGTTCCCCTATACACTGGGGTCTTGGAGTTGGTTGCCTGGGCCGCTCAGGAGAGCCATCAAGTTCAACGAGGCTGCAATCACTCAGGCCTGCTAGGTTCCTGCTGCAGGAACATCTCCCTCACTGTGAAAGGCAGTTAGGGACTGCGGTGGAGTTGCTTCCATTTCTGGTCCAGAGAGACCTTCAGAGTTGGTTATCCCACAGCAGAAGTTCAAGTCGTGAGCACGAGAGTCAGATCCCTGGATTCACACCTCTCTTGTGCTGGCCGGGTAGCCGCTTCCTCCACGGTAAAGAGTTGACAGTACCTTCTATAGACATAGGATTCGTTGAGACAGAGGTGGCAAAGTCTTCCTTAGCACAGTGACTGAAGAGCATGCTCCCACATTGGAAGAGGAATGTGACCACATTTTTAGAAGGATTACCTACTATGTATTAACACGGGCAGTTATCTAGTTAAAGTTTCTTTTTACAGCCACATTTAAAAACAGGTAGTTCAGGTCTGTTTCACTCATCATCTTCAAACCTGCTCCCCTCTCTCCAAGCCATCGGGCCTTTGAGTTTCCTGGGGACATTTTTTTTGGTGTCTGAGTCCCTTAGCTGTAGGTGGTAGAACTTTAGTAACTCCCCCCAAACCCCCTCCCCTCCCTGTGGAGTCTCTTGCCACGCAACAGGCTCTGCTTCAGTGAACTGCACCCCACGGAGTCCCAGGCCCAGGAGACTGGCTTAGAACATCCCACTAAACTCTTGGGAACCAGCCTGCTGGGAAAGCAATTCTCTCTTCTAGTGGGACTTTAATCCTCTCATTGCACAGACTCCTAGCCTCTCCTTTCCCCTCTTTTAGATCTACTCTGCCTCCAGCCTGTTTCTTCCCCGCACAAAAAGTGCTACCAAAAATTTAGAATCAAACTGTAAATTCTAAAATCTGCTTGAGGTTGTCACCTTCCAGCCAAAGGCAGCATCTCATCCATCTTGAAAGAGGAGTCAGCCTTTCTTGAAGACTGGCCTCAGCATGGAGTTTCTATGCGAGAAGCCTTCTAAAAATACCAGGGGAGAGAAGAAGCACCTACAGTTGGGAGTTAGGGAGAGGTATCCTAAGTAGAGGGAAAACCCTTAGGTTGGGAGTCCAGGGGCTGTTAGAGACAGAAAGGGGAAACAGGCCTCTGATATGGATGAAGTCCACCCCTCCCACTGAGGTAGACCAGCCAGCAGCAAGGCTGGGGCCTGGAAGTGCCAGGCTCAGAGAAGGGTGGGTGGGAAGGGGGTTGCCTGAGAGCTCAGTCTCCTGGCTGAACTAGGATATTTATAGCACCTGTCTCTACCTGGATTTATGTGGTCTGTGGCTGTAGCATGTGTGGGGAATGAGGGGGGCACATCTTGCTGCAAGGGCTGATTCTTGGCCTTGGGACTCTGGCTGGAATGAAAGTTCTAAAATCAAAACAAGGGGCCATCTGGGGGAACACCGAGGCAGAATGGCTCTTTAGTGCTGTGTCTGCAGAGCAGTCGGTGATCAGGCTTGGCTAAACCCGGGGCTTTCCAACACCACCTAGTGTTCTATTTATGGCAGCTGTGGGCGCGGGTGAGGCAGGTGTGGGTGGTGGGGGAAGCGTACCCCAGCCTCCCAGTTGCCCGGGGCCGTGGCTCTGTTTCCTGGCTGCTCCTCCAAAGGGTTAAAGCCTGAAAGAATGTTCTGTCTCTCTGGGGATCTGCACTTTGAAAGAGGAGCCCAGAGAGCACGTGGTGGCCCATCCTCTGTTCCAGAACAGCAAAACTAGAGTCCAAGTTTGCAGACCCATCGTCCAGGTCCTCCTCTTCATCTTTTCCTAATCAGTATGTGTCTGGTTGCTCTCAGACTACATTAAAAAAAAAAAAAAAGTAAACAGCTGTCTTTTAGGCTTTTCAAGAAGCCAGAGGACAAAGAATCCTTAGGAAGACTCCACCTTTGGACCTTCCGGCATTGTGTACATATATGAGGCAGCCGTCTACTATGCCTACCTGTAACGCCGGCCCTGACTGCTCCCGTGGCCAATTAGACTGGAAGAGGCCATGGGCAGGGTGGGTAGGAAGATCTAGGAAAACTAAGGACAGTAGGATACCTAGAGAAACAAAAACCATTTTTTGGTTGATATTTGTCCAGCACGTCATTTTCCTCCTTTAACCCCAGGGCGGCACAATGAGGCTGCACTATTCTTAGGGTCACCATTTCACGGATGGCAAAACTGAGGCTTAGAAAGGCTAAGGGACTTGCCTGAAGGTGACGCAGCAAGTGCGAACTTCAGTTTCAAACTCGGATTCTGGGGGACCCCCGAGGGTCGGCGGCGGCCGGGGAGGGGGCGCAGCGGGGACACAGGAGGCGGGCGGGCGGCGGCGCGGGGCGGGGAGCAGGAGCGGGCGGCGGCGGCGCGGGGAGGAGCCGAGCCCGGGGGCGCCGCACAGGCCCGGGCTGCTGGAAAGGCCGGTTTGGTGGCCCGGGGCGAGGGGCGGCTGGCCGGGAACCCCGAGCGGGGCAGCGAGGCCCGGGCAGCTGCCAGACGCGGCTGGTGACGGGCCCGCGCCGGCCGGCCCCCACCTCCGGGCCCCACCTCCGGGCCCGCGCTGCGGTCGGGCAGCGCGCAGGCCACATACCGCGCGGCGCAGAGGAAATGGCTGGAATTCCTCCCGCGGCGCCTCGCTCGGGCCAGGGGCGGGGCGGGGCGGGGCGGGGCGGGCGCCCGAGGGAGCGCGCGCAGGCGCTGCGGGGCGCTGGCGGGGGCGGCCCGGCTCCCAGCCCGGCCCCGGCGGGGGCCCCTCTCCCCTGGGAGCGCTCCGGGAGCTCGAGAACCCGCGCCGGCAGCGGGCCAGGCCCAGCCTCCTGCCCTCTCAACCTGTCCCTGGCTCAGGTTGTCTGGGGGGGGAGGGGGGGGGCTTGTGGGGAGGGGTACTGCACCCCTGCTGATCAGGCAGCGGGCCCCCAGCCTCTGGGGTGACTCGCATCGCACAGCACACACCGCAGGCGGAGGGACATGCCGAAGCTCTGCGCAGTGAGGCCTCTGCAAGTCCCAGCCTACACTTTGGGAAGGCCCTGGCCCGGTATCTCCAAATGTTCTAGGCCCTGGCTTTCTGTGGCTTTGCTGCGCAGGCCTTGCTTTACTACAGGCCTTGGGAGCAGGGCAGGAGTTGGCTTGAAGGGAGAGGCTGACCCCGCAGGAGCAGGCGGGGCCCTGAGTGGTATAGCATGAGGAGCTGGAGGCGGGGAGCAGGGTTAGTAGAGCCGGCCTGAGCAGTGAATTGGCCCGAGGAATGAGGCTGTCTCAGACTGTTCCAGAGTGTGGAGTCATTCTTGGGGTCAGCGTAGCCTGGGATAGCTCCAATGCTTCCCCTGGACAGGACCAAAACGTAACTGGGGGAGGGGGAGGGGAGGATTTGGATGGAGGACCTTAGGTTGGGGTCCAGGTAACCTCTGCTAGGAGGGTAGCCCCTGGGGTCTTGAGCAGGGGCTGCTTGACTCGGGATCTGTCCAATCAAGAATGGCATTTGCCCCCCCCCCCCCCCCCCCAGGACTTGCGCGCTCACTACACTCTCCAGGAAGATCCACACTTCCTTTCTCTGGCTGGCGAGTCCCACTTGGACTTTCAGCTCAGATATCTTTGTGAGTGCTTCCTTGACCCTCCACTCTATTCTCCTCCCTCAATCTTCTTTCACTGCCTGCCTTATTTCCCCTTTCACACGGGATTGTGACCAATTTGTTAATAAATATATGCTCCCAGTTCGATAATAGCTCCACAAGGTCGAGGATTGATCGAATCTCATTTATCTTTGTGGACTCACTGTCTAGTATGGTACTTGCCTTACAGGAAAGACACTTTAAATGTTTGTTGAATGAGTGAATGAATGAATGAGAGAAGGAGGAAGGAATTGGGTGGGCAGGTACAGACAGAAGCAGAGATCAAAGGAAAAGCAGGCGAGATAAGGATCCTGCTAGAAAGCTGTAATCTTTGCTCACTGCATATATAGAGAGAACCTACTATCTAGGCTGTCCTCTCTTACCTGCAACCTCCAGGTGGGCCCAGTCCAGAGGGCCTGACACCATTACTTACCCCAAACCACTCTGACCTTCACAAGGTGATCCAAACCTTTATCCTAATGCCCATTCTCATTCTTTTTTTTATTTGAGAGCGAACAAGAGAGAGAGCACGAACAGGGGGAGGGGCAGAGGGAGAGGGAGAAGCAGACCCCCTGCTGAGCAGGGAGCCCAATGAGGCCTGATCCCACCCAGGCGCCCTCTCACTCTTTCTTACCCTCCCTGGCTTTAGCCTCGGGGTTTGGCTTTGTTGGAGATGTGCATGTTTCTGTCTCCTACCCTTCCCCATCTCTGCATCCAGTACTTCCCATGCTGGCCCTCCTCATTTCTCTGCTTCTGGCTCAGGAGAGTCTGATTCCACACTGAGCAGTGCTGTCCACCTTTTCAGAGGTCTACAGCGCAGAAGGTGATGCCCTGGCCCAAGGCTGGGAGTGGTGATGGGTGGAGACTTGACTTGCCCCTGGAATGGGATGGCTTCCAGCTGGGAAGCAGGGCAGGGACAGAGTTTCCCAAACTGACCCACATCGCTTCCGAGTCCACGTTACAGCTTAAATTTCCACCCTCTCCAGGGACTTCTGAGAAGCCAGACAAAGGCGTGGGGAGGGACTCTCCTGCAAGTCCCTGGGAGGAAATAGGAGCCAGAGACAGGCCTGTCCTAATGCACTTGCCCCTCCGCAGGCGGGCCTCGTGGTGTCGGCAGAACTGGGGAGGGATAGGAGATGAGGTGTCATTTCCACGGCTGCCCCTGGACACTCACCCGTGAGGCGCAGGCTTAGGAAGCCTTGGCAGACCCTTTATACAGACTCAGGCAGACAGAAACACAGACAGCTCACAGTGACAGTATTGGTTCTGGGAATTTTGGAAGTCAAAACCCCTACATTTTTCACAAGAAAAAGGAACAGATTTTGGCATCTTTGCTCCAGAAACGGGAACTGACCAAGACAGTGACCTCTGACGATCACTTCCTCATCTCCGTGCTCAGAAGGGGATGGGTTCCCTAAGCCCTTCTATTTTCTCCCCAGGGTTTTGTGGGCAGGAGCCCTAGGATTCAGTAGAGGAAGGAAGGAAGGGAAAGGGAGATAGGCATGGCAGAGGGAAGAAGGGGAGATATTTTTAAAGTGGCATGTCCTTGAGGATCGAGGAGGCCAGGAGCCTGATGGACATGGGTTGGGGCCAGAAGGCACCTAATAGGTGCTCAGTGTTAATTTCATCTCCTCATGGAAAGAGCATCCATATCGTGTGTCCCTTAGAGCTCACGGATCCTTGGGCCTGTATCTCATAGCCCTGAAGTACAGCAAACACCCTTAAGTGTCTCACCTCCTCTGCATTGACTGAAGACCTACTACGTGTCAGACAAATTGCTAGGTATTGAGTGAATCAAAGACAGCTTTTCTGTTGCAGGAGTTAGACCTGAATCGAAGGAGTTGGGATCACATAAGAGAGCATTAAGAGAATGAAGCCGACAATTAACGGCTGCCAAGAGAGGAGGGAGGACCACACCAGGTGTGGGCGGAGTATAAAAGCCTTCGGAAGAAGTTGGCTTTTGAGTGGGCCTTGAAAGGCAAGTGGGCATTTGCCATGTAGAGATGGGGACGGAGGACCATCCAGGGCGGGGAAGGTCATGCATCATCAAAGGTATAGGAGAGATCAAGTGCAAGCACATCCAAGGTACTGAGAGCATAGGGCAAAAGTGGGTACAAAGGAGTAACAGAAGAAATGGCTGGAATAGGAGGTGGGTCCTGGACTTTGTAGAGGGTCCTGAATATCAGACTCAGGTCTGTGGGATTTCTCAGAGGGCCATGAGGAGCCCTTGACCAGCAATGGCATGACAAATCATGCTGCTGGCCACTCAGAAAGAAGCAAGGCAGAGGGGAGGACGGGGGAGAGAAGGGGAAGCAGCCAGACCATTAAAGTGCTTTATATTCCCAGCCCCTCATATGTGCAACTGACCGGAAATTGGTTCCATTGAATAGATCTTTGTTGGTCAAAGGTTTTTGCTGTAGAAGTCTAAGCCTCAGTTCTCCTATGAGAGCAAAGTGAGTATGGAAGGTGGATTCTGTGTTCCTGTGTGAAAGGGCCAGGGCAGTAATCACTGTGGGCAATCAGAGCCCTTCCTTCTCCTGCTAGCACGGGGAGGGTGAGTAGGAGAGGGCACAGGTTTGGTCCCTGAAAAGGGCAAGACCTTGGGGTAGCCCAGATCTGAGGGAGAGACAGTCTCCTGAAGCAGCTGGGGTGGAGAGGGGTCTGGGAGGAGGTGTTAGGGGCCAGAGGGGCACTCGGCAGAGGTCTCTGGGCCAAAAGGTCTCTAAATAGACCCAGTTGGACCTTCTGCTGGCTCTGTGGCTCTCTCCTTAACAGAGCACTTCTCACGTGGGATGGGAAGGAAGTTTCTCAGCAATAGGCGAGAGAATTGTATTGGTTGTTGTGTGTGTGTGTTTTAAAGAATTTTGATTTATTTATTTGACAGAGAGAGCACAAGCAGGTGGAGTAGCAGGTAGAGGGAGAGGGAGAAACAGTCTCCCTGCTGAGCAAGAAGCCAGATGTGGGGCTCGATCTCAGGACCCTGGGATCATGACCTGAGCCGAAGGCAGTCGCTTAACCAACTGAGCCACCCAGGTGCCCCTGGTTGTTGTGGTTTTTAAGTGAGCTCTACGCGCAACGTGGGGCTTAAACTCACTCAAGTTCCTGAGATCAGTAGTGACATGCTCCACTGACTGAGCCAGCCAGACGCCCCTGGTTGTTGTGTTTTTTAAAATAAACTGTATCTTCCTAGACTGTGAACGCCTAGAGAGCAGAGGTGGTATTTCCCTCAGGTCCTCGTACTCACTGGGCACTCAATAAAAGCAGAAGGAAAGAATCAGGGTCAGATGCCACATTACGAGGGGAAGTCTTGCAGGTGACAGCAATGGCTGAGTTTACTATTTTCTCATGAATTCCCCCCTGGGCCCCTCTGGGACTTCTATGAACGTGGCTGACATCCCCACCACTATCTCTGTACTTCTCTGCTTTCCCTCCATCTCCCATGTCTCCCATGGAGCATGTTAGCATTTCATCAATTCATTCCATACATATTTATTATTTCAGTTTGCCAGGCTCCCTACTAGACATGGGAACATAATGGTGAATAATGCTAACGATGGAAACAGATAAAGGCCCTAGAAGGCCCTGGGATCTCTCCATGCAGGGCCTGATGGGGTCTGAGATGCTACTTGGCTGGAAGAGACAGAATGGTCCTTGCTAGTTATGATTTTATGGCGCCATCTGCTGGCCACATATGACACAGCCAAAGTGAGGTGTAAATGCACAAAGAAATGGACTATTAAAACAGAGAGGGTAACACTGCTGTGTACATACCTAAAACATATACGTGTTCACCAAAAATATATATGGAAACATAGACACGTAATCACAGGTAGAAATTCAGGATCTGGCACAGTACTTTACCCTTGGTAGGACTCGAATCAATACAGTTGACCCTTGAACATCGCCGGGTGGGAGTGGGGGGGAGCGGTTAGGGGCTCCCATCCCCCCACAGTTGAAAATCTGCATATTACTTTTGATTTCCCAAAATCTTAACTTACTAATAGCCTACTGTTGACTGGAAATTTTACCATTAACATAAACGGTCAATGAACACATTTTTGGTTATGTTATATGTACATATATATATTGTATTCTTACAATAAAGTAAGCTAGAGAAAAGAAAAATGTTATCAAGAAAATCAAAGAAGAGAAAATACACTTACCATCTGTACTGTATTTACAGAAAAAAATCCACCCGTAAGTGGGCCCGCACAGTTCAAACCCGTGTCATTCGAGGATCAACGGTACTTGCTAGTCTACAAAATAAAATCCGAATTCTTCAGATCAGCTTTCTTTCAGGTTTATTACTCACTGCCCTTTCTAGCCAATTGATTGTCACTTGCCTCCTGCCTACATTCCTCCCCCCCCCCGCCCCCATTAATTCTTTAAGGCCAAGTTCAAATGCCACCTTCCCTCCTTACCTCTCTAGCTAAGGTAATGACTTTCTCTTCTGGACTTCCATAACTTTATGATATTTATCGTTTCACTGACTTGCATTTTAGCTAAGGGGACACGTGTTTTCTCCTTTCCTAGTCTGTAAGCTTCTCAAGGGCACTTGACTTGTGCTTGACTCATATTTGTGTTCCCCATAGTGCCTGGCACGTTGCTTTGCACGAAGCTGAGGCTCGGGAAGTATTTGCTGAATGAATGAATAAATGGCACAGTCATAGACGCGGAGAAAAACAAAGGTAATGCACAGAAATCAACATCTATTTACATAAATTTCTTTAACCTTGCAAAAAGTGATACACATTTACGTGAAAGCACAGAAACACATGTACCCATGCCTATAGCTGTGAGTAGACATGCTGTTTACGTGAAGCCCTTTATTATTTCTCCTGTCTTCATTCTAATCCAGATCTTCATCCCACTGACTGACCGCAGGAACCTCTTAACTCCTTTCCATTTCTAGTTCTTTCCTTTCCACTTTTCCATGGTCCCCAAGCTGTTCTTTCCTAAAACACCTCTTTGATGATATTATTCTTTAGCTCAAGAACTAAACTCGGCAGTTCTTGTTGCCTTGCATGATAAAATCTGGAAAAAAACGAAATCCTTTCTTTTCTACTCTCCCTTCAGGTAAAGAAGTCACAGTTATAACCAGCAAGAAGTGAGTGGAAGGATTTCTGGGAAAGTTTGTCATTGCCTGTTAAAAGAGACAATTGTGGTTGGTGCCACTTGTCCTCCCTCCTTACTGCTTTGAATGTGGTTACAAAGGAGCTGCAGCAGCCACTTTGCAACCATGAGGGAGAAACCAAGCTGTTGCTCCTGACCTCACCTCAGGAGTAGCTGAACAAATGCTACTCCTTCCTTGCTTATTTGAAAAAAATATATAAGCCTTTGTTTAAGCCACTGCAAGTCATGTTTTTTTGTCATGCTCATCTGGACACAATCCTGATTCATGATTTTTAAATACCTTTCCCTTCCTCTGATACCCACAGAATTAAGTCAATTTTCCTTAACCTGGTATTTTTTTAATTTTAAAAAAATTTTAAAATTTATTTATTTATTTTTAGTAATCTCTACACCCAATGTGGGGCTCATACTCATGATGCGGAGATCAAGAGTCGCATGCTCTTCCAACTGAGCCAGCCAAGCATCCCAACCTGGTATTTTTTAGACTGAGCCTAAATGATGAGGAGACATAGGATAAGCAAGGGAAAGAGCCTTGCAGGCAGAAGGGGCAGTATCTACAAAGGTCCTGAGGCACAGCATTCATGTTCTGGCCCCATTCTACTCATCTGGCCCGGATTCCCAGTATTTCCAATATTTTTTTCATGGCTATATCCTAGCCCCAGCCTCTAACCTCTTGCCTGGTCAATTTCAGTAACTTCCCAATTTATCTCCTTGCTCCAACTACTGATCTGTTCTTCTCACATCAGCCAGAGATCTTTTTAAAAATAATTCAAATCAAATGTCTTTTCTATGCTTAAATCCCTTCAGTGGTGTTTTTTTTTTTTTTAATATTACTCTTTGACTCAAGCCCAAACTCCTCAATAAAACCCAAATTTCTATAAGGGTCCAGATCTGTGGTCATCAACCCCATCCTCACATTAGAATTACCTGGGAGTATTTTTTAAGTGATCGGTGGCTGAGCTCCACTTTACACGTTCTGATTTAATTCATATGGGATGAGGTCTGAGGCCTGGACATTTTTACAAATTCCTAAAGTAGATGCAGAAGTAGAGTCACGGTTTAGAACCTCTGATTTAGACCTGACTATCTTTCCATCCTCACCTAGCACACCACACATGCATATGGCTCACTATGCTCTATCTGTGTTGGTTTTCTTTCAAGTCTTCAAATGTGCCAAACTCGGTTCTGCTTCAGGAGACCGTTGTAGATGTTGTTCCTTCTGCCTGGAAAGCTCGTTTTCTGCTCGTCCTATGTCTGCTTGTTTTCTCATCCTTCAGGCTCAATTTAAATATCTCCTGTTCAGAGAGGCCTCCCTTAACCATTTCATTTAAAATCATCCCCCTTGTCATTCTCTTGTTGTAACTTCTTGATTCCTTTTTTGATACTTATTGCCATTTAAAAATTATGTTTGTCTTTTAAAATCTTTGTTGCTGCAGGCTATAGACTGCAGAAAGGCAGATTATGGCTGTTTTTGGTGTGTGGTTCACTTCTTGTGATCAGAGCCTCTTGTAGTGCCTAGTTTAGAATGGGTATGTGAAGAACTGTGAAGGAGGCTGAAATTCTACTTACAACTTAACAAGTTAGCTTGCTGCTCTTTCATGGATGCTGGCAGAAGACACGAGACTCCCAGGTCAAAGACAAAAGACTTTATTACTCACAGCAGTAACAGCCAGAGCATCTGCATTTGCACTGGTTTCTTGAGTCCCAGGCCCCACAGGGCAATGTGAAGAGGTCCAGATGACACAAGCGCAGCCAGTGGGTCACATTACACAAGAGGAACACTGAGCTTAGGGAACCAGGGTCATTTATTATGGGCAGTAAGCCTACTTGACTTTTGCCTTGCAGGGAGACATTACCTTCATAACACTGGACAGTACACAAACCTGCCCTTTGATCCACAGGGAGACACTATCTTTAATTTTCAAGGCTGTTCATTGTACCAGTATGTTTGAAAAGATAATCAGGAGCCAAGAAGTCAGTGCCTCAGCTCGCAAGATGTGCAGAAATGGGAGATACACACGGAGAACTCTTTGATCCCTGAAGCTTTCTGCCTAGTACCCTTTACAGACCCAGCACAGGGACGGGGGGCAATCCACACACAGTCTGCAGGGCTCATTGAATTGAAATGCCAGACAGTAGAGGTCCGGCAGGCTGAGGCAGCTGGAATTTGTGGGACAGAGTACTAGCAAGGAGGAAGCTATGCAGAGAAAGAACTCCAGCAATTCACGTAGGGTTCTCTTGAGTTTTGGGTAAATACTAAGCTGTGCATGTGTGGGGTAAGACTCTCCTAAGCCAGGCAAGGGCCAACTATTGGAAAAACAACTACCAGGAAGCTGTAAGCTGAACAGTGTCCAGAGCTCACATCAGGTTGGAAGATGTTCGAGTTCCAACCAGCCAGACTGGAGCATGGAGAGACATTAACTATCTGAGGCATTAAGTGGTTATCTTAGTAGTTGGGTAACACTGGCCCTAGAGTAAAGGTAATCCAGATCAGGGTTTTTCATTCTTGGTACCATCGATATTTTTGGGAAGGATAATTCTTGTTTTGGGGGACTTTCCTGTGTATCTTACAATATTGAACAGCATCTCTGGCCTCTAACCATTAGAAGCCAGTAGCACTTTCCTGGTTGTGATTACCAAAAATGTTTCTAGAGACTGCCAATATCCTGGGGATAGGTGTGGGGGAAAAGCGTACCTAATTTAGAACCACTGCCCTAGATCCACCCTAACAAAGCACAAAAACAAACCTTGAAAGCTTTTAGATTATCTTTAATTAAGTCAACTATCTGCCCCCCCGTCTCAATAATCTTCAAAGAAAGAACAAAATGCAGCCACTCAACAATGTAACATTCACATTGTCCAGCAGCATCCAATAAAAACTTACTAGCATGCAAAGAGGAAGGAAGACATTACCCATACCCAAGAGAAAATCAATGATAAGAACTAGATCTATAAATGGCAAAGATTATTGAATTAGCATACAAAGAACTATTAAAAGAACTATTACAAAGATGTTCAGGGATTTAAAGGAAAACATGAATATGGCAAGAAGAGAAATATAAAATCTAAAAATGAACAAAAGTATTAAATTTTCTAGAACGGAAAAATACAATACCCAGAGGGAAAAATTCACTAAATGGACTCAACAGCACATAAACTAGAAATTGCAGAAGAAAATATCTATGAATGTGCAAACATAGCAACTTTCCCATCTGAAGCCCCCAGAGACTCAGTGCCCTGTGGGAATAATATCAGGAGTCTAATATTTACGTAATTAGAGTTCCAGAAAGAGAGAACAGAGTGAATGTGGCAGAAACATATTGGAAAAAAAAAATGTCTGAAAAATGTCCAAATTTGATAGAAGCTAAAAATTCAAATATCCAAGAATCTCAACAAACCCCAAGCTGTATAAACACAAAGAAAACCATACCAAGACACACCATATCATTGCTACAATCTAATCATGAAGAGAAAAATCATAAAAGCAGCAAGAAGAGAAAGACACATTACATACAGAAACCAAAGATAGGAACAAACACTGACTTCTCATCAGAAAGAGTGAAAGCCAGAAGAGGGATTTTTCAAGTTCTATAAGAAGAAAGATGTCAACCTAAAATTCCTTATTCAGCAAAAAAATAACCTCCAAAATGAAAAGGTCATTCAAAATCCTTCAAATGAAATGAAAACAAAGGTATTAAAAAACAAACAAACAAAAAACCAAACCAAAACGAAATAACCCAGGGGTGCCTGGGTGCCTCAGTCAGTTAAGCATCTGCCTTTGGCTCAGGTCATGATATTGAGGTTCTGGGATCGAGCCCTATATTGGGCTCCCTGCTCACGGAGAGTCTGCTTCTCCCTCTCTCTCTGCTCCTCCCCTGCTCATGCTCTTTTTCTCTTAACAAAAAAAAAACAAAACAAAAAACCCTCAAAGTTGAGAGAACTCAACACTGGCATAATGTGTTATGTGAAATGTTAAAAGAAATCCTTCAAATTGAAGGAAAATGATAGCAGATGGAAACTTTAACAGAGAGGGATGAATTATCAAAGCTGACAAAGGAAGAAATAAAAACATGAATAGCTCTGTATCTATGAAAGAAATTGCATTTATAATTCAAATCCTTCCCACGAAGAATACCCCAACTCCAGGCTTTTCTGGTAAACAGGTCAAGAAAAAAATAATACCAATGTGTCACAAACTTTTTCGGAAAATAGGAGAGAAAACACTTCTCAACTCATTTTATGAGGTTAAAGGACAGGCTGGCAAATATTTTAGACTGTTTTAGGCTGTTGCTGTTCATCCTCTTGTCCTCCTCGTCCTCCTGGTCCTCCTTGTTCTCTTCCTCCTTCCTCTCCTCCTCCTCCTCCCTCTTCTCTTCCTTCTTCACAACCCTTTACAATTTTAAAAGCCATTCTTAGCTTACAGTCCAGAGCGCAACTGCCCAAGGGTCAGATTTGTCCTGTGGGTCCTAGTCTGCCACCTATTGGCTAAAGCATTAGTAAACTACACAAATTTTACTAAGGACTTTGATGAGGCGCTAGAGAAGAGGGATATATC